AACAAGAAGAAAAACATATTCAAGAATTTAAGTCCAAGTGAGTGTGTCACACAATATTACAAAGGCAAATCAGTGTATTTAAGATTGACTGATGCATTTCAAACAGCAGAGGCGGGAAGGATGAGGCAGTAATCCTGGAAGATTGATGGGAACACTGCTAAAGCTTTCACTCAGAGGCTCCAGCATGACGTAGTGCCTCTCGCATTCCTGGGTTATTACTTAAAGATGTCTGCTTGTCATTGCTTCTCTTGCTCTCAATGTTGCCTCTCACGTCGGGGCGAGCCGCTTGCAGCCAATTTCCACTGCAGAGAGTGGTTAAAGGAAATCCCTGTCAGTTCATTAGAGCAGTCGTCGCATATTAAGAAAAAAATAAATAAAACAGCCGAACATGACGTAGGGCAGAGCAAGCTGGAATGGATGGAAAACAGTAAAATATGTTCTCACAGCGATGTTTAATCCCATCCGCTGGACAGAGAGGAAAAAGGCAGAGGAGAATTTAACATGGTTTATATGGGAAATGTGGAGGCGGTCAAATGTGAAAGGCAAGGTTAAGGGAAGAAAATTGGATTAATGGTTGACTGCACAGTATGTTTCCTCTAAAGATCTAAGAAGCGTAAGTGATTTCTGTTCATGATGGTGTGACGTTGCTGCAGGAAGCTGATGTGCGATTATTCATAGCGGTGGAATCCAGTCTGGCAAAGTCCCGGGTTCTGATGGGAACTGAGCCGGTCAGAATAGGCTTTCTGTCTGTGTGGACACACAGACAGACACACACACACACTGTTCCACTTTCAGAAAAAACTACTGAGTGAGGAAGAAAGTCAGTAGAGAGAGGAGAGATTTACGGAGGAAGTGAGACGTAATCTATGAATTATATATACACGCTGGGACTGTGATTTCATTCAGAGGAGAGCCCACACACAACCCCCCCTCTCTCCCACTGCTTTTAGCCATTAAGCCTTCATTTGCTCCTCACTGATGAAAATAAACTTTGACAACTTTATGAAGTTCTTTCATTAAAACATTTTCTTCTCTTGTTTTTCTCTGTCACCACAGGTGGAGGAGGAAAGCGGAAGGGGAGGAGCAAAAAATGGAAGGAGATCCTTCGGTTCCCCCATATAAGCCAGTGCACTGAGCTGGGAAACAGCATTGGTACGTGTTTGTGTGCTCAACCTGTTAGTCTGTTTTTCAAAAAGCTGTGTTTTAAAGTGTGTGTGTTTGTGTCTTTTATTTCTGCAGAGAGGGACTATGTCAGCATCTGTGAGAAACAGCCTATCGGATGGCTTCTCTTCCGTCTTTACTGTGAGACCAGACTTAAACTGCAACGATGCATCCAGCTACTGGACGCGATGGTACACAGACACAGACACACACA